AACTGTAACCTTAGTAGTCGAGTCGAAACTAAATTTGACACCTGCATTTGGACCGAAGGAGCAGTTTTATAAATACACAGTTCTATAACTGGAGTAGTTTCTGTTTCTGGTACCTGCCACTATCCGCAACCAAATTATCTTTTAAGTATACCATAAAGTGTGAGAAATTTCCATGCATTTATGGTGAGTAATTAACATTTAGCTGAAATGTATGGTCTAGTTAAGTTGTGCGGATCTCATACCAAGTTTTTCTTTGAAGCTAATGTTCTGTTGTTTGGCTATTCTGCATATTGAAGTTCTGGTTTTTGTCTTGTAGATTGTTCCCACTGAATACAGGTATTTATCAAAAGAAGTTTTGCCAACTAATCAGTTCTCTGTAACAGAATACTTTTCTCCCATCAATGAGTTTGATCGGACATGGCCAGGTGCGTCTCTTAACTCTTAAATACTCAACAGACATTCCTTCTATCAATTGTTGCATTTTCCCTTTATCTCTTGTTGTACTTTTTTGTTTATTGTCTTTCTCACTTAATGCAGCTGTATATTTCTTATATGATTTGTCACCAATCACTGTGACCATCAGAGAAGAACGTCGCAGTTTTCTACACTTTATTACTCGGCTCTGTGCAGTTCTGGGTGGTACATTTGCCTTGACAGGTTTGTCTCCAACACTTAGCTGTAGCCTGTAGGATTTTTTAAAGTTAAATATTCTCTTATAAGCCAGAAGTCCCTGCTATTATTCTACTCTTCTTTTTGCACATACATTCTTGTCATTTGAAGGTTGAACTTAATGCTCTGCATTTTGTTGTGTGGGAAGAAATTGTAAATCATTTGCTCTAGTGTGTGGAAAATGCTTACAAGTATTTTGGTGCCAGGAAATGTGATACTTAGACTTCTTTATTCTTATTTCTTTCTTGCATATTCAGAATGGAGTGTTAATTGCTGGGGAGATCATCTTCTAAGAGTCTCAACCAATTCTTGGGACATTTTCTCCCGTTCTATAATCTTTTTTTTCCATGTTTGCAGTTGAGGGATCTCCATTCAATTCGCTGAAATAGCATAGACCTGGCATCTGCCAATGATTTGGAGTTTATATTGTGTCTGCCTAGTTAGATACCGATTTTTTTTATGTGGGGGTTATATTACAGTCATAGGTTTGGGGAGCGGCCTAATATTGGGAAATTTTTAAACTTTCCCTGGGTAGTCTGTCGTAGATTTACCTATGGACGACGTGTTTTCCCCTGATTCGTTTGGCTTCCTCTTAGAATCTTTTTTTCTTTGGAATTTCAGGGATATTCCCCTAAAGCTGTTTCTTGCAGTTAAGAAACTGGACTGTGAAATTAGTAGGAAATCTTTAATCTAATCAGTGATCACACATTCTCACATATTTGCCTAATGTTTTGTGTATAATAGGCATGCTAGATAAATGGATGTACAGGTTCCTTGAAGCAGTTATGAAGAAAAACAGCAGAAGTCTTGTGCGATAATTGAACGTTACCTGGTGACATGTTGCACCTACAAAGTAATATTCAGCTGAGGAAATCCCAAATTCCCAGAGCACTATACGTGGAAGCTTTTAGCGAACAAGGGAGATCGATAAATAAGGCTTGTGTATAATTTATTCCCCGTGTATTTTGTTTTTCTAACTTTCTTTTTATCCTTTAATTTTGATAGCACTTTACACAAATATACCATGGTGTATCCAAGCCATTCTAGCTGTCTGAGAAAAGATTTACTTACTGGTCATTTTAACATAATGTAGTTTGTAGTTCAAAGGAAATGAACATTTCCAGGTTTTCTTGCTCAATTTTAGTTGAAAAACTTGCTGTAACTGAGAGAGATGGACTTCTATGTGATGCTTCTTTATTATGTAACTCTTGTTTAATGCAGTACCTGGAAAGTAGATCGTCTGGTAGATCTTGTAAATCGGAGTCAAACCTATTTCTTCCTTTTATCGGTTTTGGAAAGATATTAGCTGACCAAATACTTGATGCCTAGAGTGGGCAAGCATGCGTCAATACAAGATTGTTACACAAATAGCAGGCCACACAGTTATACACATACTAGTTTCTAGACGCGTGTATCTTATGTAAGAGTGTTTGAATTATTTGGATCGAAATGCAGAAATTGTCATGCCATTTTTTTTACTATCTACTTCAATTTATTGGAATTCCATTTAAAAGTTCTCATTAATTATGATCTACATGGCTGACAGAGGCGGATCCGGAATTTAAATTCTATGGGTTCAGATTCTTGACATAAAATCAATTATACATTTAAAGTTAAGTTCACATCTACTATTTTTATAAATTTAGTAGAATTTTACACATAAATTTATACTCTACCATAAAATTACTGGGTTCATTTGAACCCGGTAACACTATACTGGATCCACCCCTGATGGTTGAGTAGCTATTTTAGAGGAAGAAAACAATATTAAAACAAATTACACGATAAGTAAGAAGCAAGAAGCAAAAGAAACTTAAAAGACCATGCACGAGCTGGGATAACAGTTCTGTGCTCTGTAAACGAAAATAACTCAAACGTGGTACTTGTATTGCTATTTGAATATGCATGTAGTAACTGTTTGGACACACTGATTGAAATCCTCTTACAGGTACGTTATTGCAATGTACAAAATACATACTATCTCAACCTTTAGAGTTTATAATGTCAATTAGAAGTTTATTCCTTTTAACTTCCAACAATTATTCAAAAGTCATGAAAAAATTATTTCATTTGTGTTCTAATTACATTCCTACAATAGATTTCACTATTCTAGAGGTCTTCCATAGATCATTGTCTTGAGAGTTGAGATCATAAGGCATTACATCCCTAAAACAATTCATAAATAATAATGAGAAAAAACTTGCATGCTTCAACTTAGTGTTTATTTAAAAAGTTAATATAAGCATGAAAAATAAAAATGTAATAAGATCATAATTATGAACACTTTAAAATTACAAGAAAATTTTAGGAAAAAACTAATACAAATGGCGATGACAGCATAAATTAGTAGAACACATTTCATAAAATATCAAAAGTACTCAAAATTCCCTGCTTCGAAATACTTTCATGATAAATAACTCCAACGGCTACAAGCCCCCTATACTGGCACATTTTCTATGTGGCCTATTCCTTGTGCAGCTAAGTACCAAGTGAATTTTCATGGTACTACTAAAAGTAGCAGCACAAGATAAGGAATTCCTCAAAATACAAAAATGCTTGACCATTAATCAGCATCACATACTGATTTGACTTCAAACTACTTACCCAATGCTGTGAAAATGTTAGAAGTCTGAGTTAAGAACTCTGAATTCTAATCTCTTGCAGCCCTGGATTCTCTGAATGTCCAACAACAGGATTATGCAATGGTTGGTGGTGGTGTTGCTGACTATTATTATGACGTTGTTGGCGTGAGGTGTTGTCAATGTAGCTATAATATCTTTGATCAGGCAGAACGTGTGGTTGCGTGGCACTGGTTGTCTGTGCAGGGGAAGATCGTAGACGTCTGCTTGCTCTCCACCTCAAATACTCTACAAGGAGCGAGTTGGTACTAATTGCAATACCGAAGCCAGTGAAGGAGGAAAGTAGCACTGATAGGATTGCACTAACATTAAGCTGCACATATAGCAATTATGTAAATCTATATGTATCTGTTATTTTTGCAGGTGAAAACAACAGCGGCCTTCCCCTATCGATCAAACAAGGAACCCCACTCCCTCCCCTTCCCCCTACCCCGGCTGCCAACATACATAAGAGAGAAGGGCGCCAAGAAATGCAAGAAATTAAAGAGTGAAAGATCACTTACCACTGCATAAAATATATGGGCGAACAGGATAACAATTGCAAACTGAAATGAAGCATAAGCCCATATGTAACTCTTGCTGACTGCAAATGGCCAAAGAATGTGTTATAATTCTTGATAAAAGGATTCATCCCTCCAAGAAAAAAAATCAAAAGGAATGAGTAAAGAGTGAGCTAACAACAAAAGTATTTCGACCCAAAAAATATCAAAATGATGTAAAGAACATCGAGGAATGAGCCAATAATAAAAACATGTCTAAAGTTTAAAAGACAGAGCCATTCAGTTACTTTGTCTGTCAGGTCAATTTCATTCTATTCATGGCTATATTGATGAGGTATGTATTACAGCATGACAAGCAGTTTGAGATCTTTTTTCCTTTTTTTTCTTTTACTTAGGACTGATCCTCAAAAGAGAGAGAGTCTCCCTTGCAATAGAGAGGATTTTGTGAAAATGGGATAGCTAAAGTGCGAAACCTGAAAACTTTTACCCAAGCAGGCTCTTGGCTAATGACACGAACTGTTTATCCAAACACGTTAACCATGTTTACTGAAGATCAAAATTCCACTATATATGGCTACTTAACAGTCGTGTGTAAGTCACTAAATCCTATAATATAAAGTTCATTTCCAGTTAAGAAATGGTGAAATTGAATAGATTGTGATTTGATAGTTCTTAGATAACTTGATTTCTAAGAGACAAAATCCAACAAACATGCAGCGGATTAACAGCCCCCTTTGTCTCTCTAGCCATAATATATATGAAAGTATTCAATTAAGTTAAAGGAAAAGACCAAGAAGTAGAAGTGTTATATGTGGAATCATTTCAGAGATGACATCGGATGAGAAGAAAATAGAGAAGGGAAAACAATCATACCCATTGTAGAAGCTATCATAGAAGAAAGGAGACCTAAAACACAAGAGAAAGGTAAAGAGATAGCAAGAGCACGAGCGCCTAAGTCAGTCACCTGTCACGATACAAGAAAAGAAAATGATAAACATAATGTCCTACATTAGACAGAAATGTGAATGCTATATGATATATGATCAAAGAAATGCCAATGTTCCATCTAGGCAGAAGTGTGCAAATTTATATCAGTCTTTTTGATGCTTAACACCTATATTCATTCAAATATTATTTCTTGAAGTAATAACAAGCATCAATTCTCCAACATCTCCCCCTTACCTTCACACAAATTTAGGACGTTTTAATATAGTGCTAATAATCATTTTATTTTAACAATATTGATGATAACGTTTATTTCTTTTTATCTTTCAAGTCCTCAAATTTCCACACAAAAAGAAATGTATAAATGAATATGGTTTTGGAACTCTCAAATGGCTGATCAACAGGTAGTACATAAATTTTGCCAGGGGCGGAGCTACAGTAGAGGGTGCGGGTTCGAGCGAACCCAGTGACTTTTTCCGGAACCCTGTACTTGTATTGAAATATTTACTAAATCTATATAAATATATACTGCCGAACCCAGTAACAAAAGGGGTCTTGGTTCAATGGTAAGGGCTGTGGGTTCGCAGGGAAAGATGGGGGTTCGATTCCCGCTGAAAGCAGTGTTTTATTTTAAAATTTAGAACCCACACACTTCAAATCCTAGCTCCGCCTCTGATTATTTTGCCGTCAAAAGGTAATGTCGTTAGAGGAAGTCCTAGTTTAGCAATTCTTTTAGAAAGCTGGTATTATGTGCACAGACCAAAAAAGTAGGACAAGAAATGCACAAACCCTATAAAATAAGTACAAAAATGCACATTCCGGAACAATAGGACAGAAATGCACCAGCTTAGAAACTACGCACTAAAAAATGCAATTTGGCCCAAAATAAATTGAAATATACTGGATTATATTAGCACTTTAACTCACATCGGAAGCTATATAACCATGAAGAAACAAAAGGAAAGTACCAGAAGCTGCTCCAGAAAGCAAAAGTAGGCAAGCATGCTGACCATGACAAGGATAGGTACGTCTTGCCAGACTCTGTTGATAGTAAAAGAAGAGAGAAACACCCAAATAAGTTGACAAAACCAATTTCCATGTGACATTCGTTAACATTTAGATTAACCTGGTTAAAAGTATCACCAAATAAATGAGAAACTATTGACACCAGTTAGGCAATTATCATGGTATAAAAACTGACAAGACACCAAACAAGTGAAAGTAAAGTTTTAGGTTGATGATTTATATGTATAATCTTCAGAAATCTGAGGGTCTAAATCTTTCTTCACTTTGTCAGATCTTCTACTGATTGAATTTCCTTCCTCAATCTTAATTTATTACTAAATAGCTTTAATTTTTTGGTGTGCACTTTTCACTCTGCTGCCCAAAGCAACACCGAAAAAGGTGCCAAATTTTGTGACCACAACGTTCTCTTCTCTCCCCCTTCCTCATCTTCAAGCATTTTATACACAAGATAGACGGAAACTAATTAGTTTAATCTCATTTTAAAATATGTTCTACACTTGTGAAGAAACCTATTAATGCTTATCAAGATCCAGGGCATTCATGAGTTCAATATTTGGGAAGGATTCAAGCTAAAGTAAAGGAAGCCGTAAAACTTTATTAGCTGAACTTGCCTGTAGCGAGGCACTTCCCTCTGCTGTGTAACAGTTTGGGACCTTCTGGCAGCAGTTGGAGGATTTTGAATTTTTAATAATGTTACGGGGAGGTTTCGCACTTCCTGCTTGCAAACGTCACAAATCTTGTTACCCTTAATACTAAACCACTTCAAAGTGCACTCCTTGTGAGCAAGTGCAAGCTCTCCTTTGCAGCTGCATTCCATTTTAAACGTTTCACTTTCTTCACCAAGTTCAACAAAACAAATTCTACAAACAGCCTCTTCCTCAGGAATATCTTCACCAGTATTATCCGTGGCTGCAGATAGCGTAGGACAAAAAGCCATTATAGTCACCAAAAGATAATCAGCGAAGATGTCATAGGAAGTACTGGAACAAGGAAAGGAGACAGCATAGGTCATGTCCTTTACTCTTAACTATTGCCTATGATGAAGTATCTACTATCCTACTCGATTCAAGCATTCTGTCTACTCCAATGAGCCAA